GGCCACGAATAGCTGGGTAACAAGTGCAATCAATTTTTATGAATGAATCGAAGACGCGGCATTGATCAGTTGCTTTTGTTGTATTTAGTGTGCTTGTTGTTATTGCTACAATTACGCCCTGCTGGGCAGAGGGAAAAAAGGGGGCGGGGCAGGGTGTGTGTAATTTATCTAAATGTGTAGCAAATGTTTATTTGATCAATGAAATGAATTATTGTACGAGCACATGTGTATGTGTGTATCTATATCTTTGTATCTTTGTATAAACGAATGGAAAAACAAATATCAACTATAGATACAATATCCATAAATGCGGCTCAATATGTGGGACGCAATTAAAAACAAAAATGAAATAAAAACGGGAGAGCAACACATCTGTAATTGATTTGTTTTCCATACAATTCCATTGTCCGGCTTGTTTTCATTTTTGCTCTTTTCGGAAACTGGTTAAGGCTTCTTGTTGCTCTCACTCATTGTTCTTTTTTGCCGCGGTATTGTCCATTAATTAAATGCAAAAACTCAATGAAATGATGCACGAGGCTGTCCAAATTAATCAGGCGTACAACTCAATTAAGCAAACAAACAAGTTTATAACAGGCGATTTTTTTCTGAGTATATGGAAGGGATTAATTTAAGAAAATTATAGAATTAATGCAATTAAATTCATATTTAAACAGTCTTTTTGCATTACTATTTAGCAAAATTGTATAGAAAAAATCATTGATAAAGAAAATTCCATTTAATCTTCAGCAAGCCTTGCAGTTATTGGAAATCGACTACATTTCGATTACTGTGCCTGTATTACTAAAAACAATGAAGCTATGTCGATTTTGCGCTGCATTTGGCCATCGTTTCTATGGCAACTATATGATATTGTTGTCTGATTTTAATTTAATGAAAACCGTAATTCCACAATATTTAAATAATACCAAATCTTAAAGAACAAAATAAAATAATTAAAAACAACAAAGTAATAATTTTTTAAAAATTTTTTTTCCGATTGTTCATATGGGAGCTATATGATATAGTCGCCCGATCCGTCTTGTTCCGACTTATATACTACCTGCAATAGAAACACAACTTTTGGGAAAGTTTCAAGCAGATAGCTTTAAAACTGAGGGACTAGTTTGCATAGAAACGGACGGACGGACAAACGGACAGACGGACGGACAGACGTACATGGCTAGATCGACTGTCCTGGTGATGCTGATCAAGAAGATATATACTTTATAGGGTCGGAATTGGAGACATTTCACTGTTTTGACTGAAATTATAATACCCTTTGGCAAGGGTATAAAATATGTATAATACAAATTTAAATTTTTGCAGAGGAAACCACCTGGTTGACTTGTTCATGTCGCATTCAGAGTCGGTGGATTTATGTTGCGCCTCGGGTGACTTAAAGGGTCCAGGTCGGTTGAATACCAATTAATGGAACAGTGCAAGCGCAAGATTGATTGGCAATCGCCAATCAACGCAACCTGCGACGTGTCAGAAATTAATGGGCTAAGCGAGACAAAACTTTAGCGCGGTTTTTCTTGACTTTTTTTCAAACGGCAGCAGCGACCACTCAAATGACAATTTCCGGCCGTCAGTTTGGCAGTGCCAATAAATTGGCAACCCTGCTCGTATTTCAACGGCCACGCAAGAAAAAAGCTAAAGCAAAAGCACCGAATCCAATTCCAATTCCAAAAGGCCGCCATCATATGTGGGTGCCTAGAAAAATGACTCTGGCAGCGATAACCATAAAGTTTTATGGCATTTTACATTTTACATAGCATTAGTCGCTCCAAAAAAAGGTAAAGAGTCGAGAGTGTCTGTGAATGTGGTTAGCCAGTTACTAAATTTGGCTTAAATGAAGGCGAAACTTGTTACGTAGCCGGCCGGTGGTCGTCGGCCCACATGGTCAGCATCTCTAACTCGGCTCGAATCATGAATGAATTCAGCCCCCGGCAGAAGTCTGTCACTCCGTCCGTTTGTCACTCATTCACTCAGTCAGTCAGCAAGCCAAGTGAGCTGGCCATAATTGATTTTCGAAACGAGCGCAGTAAACATGACGGCGACAAATTTTTCGTCTAAAATGTGACAAAATCGGAGGGAAAAAAGAGCAAAAACCGACGACAACGTATCGAAAAAGCGACAAAAAGTCGTGGCCATATGGACAACATGTGCATGCGACTGCAGAAATTGTTAATTCATTCATTAAGAGTTCAAGTGGACGTCCAAAAAGCGATTCCACATATAATGGGCGCGACTCGGAAAAATGACTTGGAAATTATTTCAGTGGGCCGCAAAGACAAAAGGAAGCCAAGATGGTTTTACTTAAATACGAGCGGAGTTTTCTTAGAAAGGTTTAAGGCGAAAATGTATAAAATTAGCTAGAGATTGGTTTAGGTACTTTTAAATATTACTAAATGAGTTTTGAGGAACTGGTCCAATTTAAATTTAAATTTTTATATAGCATTTTTATAAACCATTTCAAGAAGATCTATTTTATATCCATCCTGTTGTTTTCAAAACTATACTTGTAAAGAAGTATGAAAATTGAAATTGACAGTTGAAAATGTTTTTTCTATGGGATTTACTTTATATATCTTATCTTAATATTTCCCGCAATTATAAGAAGATTTAAGACCACTTAAATGAAACTGCGAAGGTGGACGCATTAATAGCCAATATCCATTAAGCCGCTTAAACCTCCTAAAATCTAGTGTTTCCACGGGCGGATTAAGAACATATATATATATAAATGTATCTGAAAGATGGCCCCGTTGCGGCCTGAAACGTCCCTGGCCTCGTCTCATCATTCAGTCAGTCGCTCATTCATTCAGTCCACAACCACGCGCCCTGTGGCTGCATTTGGTGGCTAATTTGCATAGTTTTTCTGCTCGGTGTGCTTTATATTGCGTTGGCGTTTCGGCCCGGATCGTATTGGATTCGTATAGGAACCTTAAGGCCTGGGAAAGTGTTGCGGCCTGCCGGCGATAATGATGCTACATGGAGATGATGATGACACTGTGGGAAACCTTAGCAAATGTGGGCTGCTGTCACTAATGAGCTTGTAGTGTCAGCAGAAACAGAAAACAAATGTAGGTAGAGTATTTAGTCAATACCAAAAAAAAACAGAAATAAATATATAGATGCTAGGATTAATCTTTTGTTTATTACTCTGATACTCAAAAAGTTTGTAACTAATTGATAATTGAAAATTAATGTATTTTATTTTAATTTATTACACTCACTTTGTATGCATTTAAATTTAATATTAATTTTTAGGGTGTTTAGTTAATACCAAAAAATAAAGAAATAAATATATAGATGCTGGGATTAATCTTTTGTTTATTACTTTGATACTCAAAAATTTTGTAACTAATTGATAGAAAATTAATGTATTTTATTTTAATTTATTACACTCACTTTGTATGCATTTAAATTTAATATTAATTTTTTCAATGAAAAGAAAGGAAATCTTTTATTTGGCTTAACCCTAATTGTGTGTGTGGGGCAGAAAAAAAGACTTTGCTCGGGAATAGAAAATTGCTGAAACAACAAAACGCTCAAATATCGCGGTCTTGGATCAAATGGCCCATATGTGTTCGTCTGTTTATTGTTTTGTTCACTTTATCCGCGCTTCCGTTGCAACATTTCCGCAGCTGAGGCAAGCGAAAAATTGAAATTAAATTAAATAAAGCGAATAATTCTGATTATCTAATTCCCATTAAAAAGCCAAGCAAACTCGATTAATTCATTCATTTACGGCGTGTGAAATTGATTAGGCGCAATCGTTGCTAGAAAATAAATATTTGCTAAATTGGAATTTGAGTTGTCATATCCGCTGCGGCCATATATACACCGCCGGACTATAAATATATATATCAGCGAATGCGAATGCGAATGCGTTTGCCTTTGCGTATCTATATGGTGTATATAGAGCGGCCAGTATTTTTAGTTGGGTGTTCAATCTTCTCGAGACTTTGAGACTGGGGGGCAGACAGCGAAATGAAATGGTTACAGTGCGTGTTCAGTTGGCTGGGCGCCCGCCATTCGGCTTCTTTTGGCATGAATCATCCCCACGATCACCATCATCATCACCATCACCATCATCATCATCATCATCATCATCATCATCTGGTGGCTAGAACGGCCGGGTTTGCATTTTACAAAAATACGCATTTTTATGTTTACGACGTAGTCCGCCAGACAGGAGCATAGAAAGTCGGCGCCCCCGCCTCCTCACGCACTCATAATTCCCAAATCCGAAATAGTTTTTTGGCCAGCGCCAAATTTACAACTTTGTCGCAGCAGCGAATTCAATTTGCCGGCCACATATCGAAAAGTGGCCAGGGGAAAATGGCAAATTTTCCAAACTGCGTACTAGTTGCTTTTCCGACTTTTCGACTTTTCCGACTAGCGAGATTTTGTTTATCGCCGGACTATACGAGCTGTTAAAAATATCCCGCCATGGGCAGAAAACAAATAATGTGTACATAAATTGCAGAGCCCACCTATTATCTCACCCTCCGTTTTTCTGCGATCTACTATGTGGCTGGCCAGAAAATATTCTTTTGGCTAATTGTCTAAACAAACGGTGCGAAATTATGTTAGCGCATCTTTCCCTTGGGGGATTTTTCTTTTCTGGTTGTTATTCATTTCGAACTTGTTGCATGGGCACGTGTGGTCCATTATTTGGCAGGGGATAGAAAGGTATTGCGATGATTTAAAGGGCGGCCATCAATTGGCAAGGAAATATGGCCAAACCTGGTTTGCATCCACTGCTTGTTTTTCTAAGTGCAAATACATTTTGCAGAAATTATTGGCCATTCTGGTATGCGTTTGCATTTTGAATAAATACGACTTCAAAAAAACAAATATTACAAAATAATTTAAGGCTTTTAATTGATGTTCCTAAAATATTTAATAAGCAAATAAGATATTTTCTACTTAAATACTATTAAGAACTAAATAGTAAGAGTGATTAAGGTACAAGGTGGGGAATTACTTACCGGAATTTTAGATGTCCGCAGGAACTCCAGAAGGGCCTCCAGCGAACCCAGTGTGGAAGCCTGGACATGAACGCCTATCTGGGCAAGTTTAATGTGACTAAGGGCGCTCTTTAGCTCCCGGGCAACTTCATCTCTGAAAAAAACAATAAAGAAGATATAATATAGTACATGTAAAAAAAGGACAAACATTAAGAACATTAAATTACTACATTTTTTAGGACTACAAAAAGAACAATACTGCATTAAACAAGTAAATAACTCAAATAAACGCACGTGCAAATCTCGACTTCATCCGGTTTGTGGGCAACCAGCAGATTGATGCCTGCAATGGCCTTCTCCAGATCCTTGGCGGCGATTTTGACGCCCTGCGCGGCCTTCACCTCCTTGTACTCCACATAGGCGTTCTTCACGCGCAGCTCCTTCATCGGTTGGGGCATCAAAAGCGAACGGATCTGGGTGACAATGGGTCCATCTGTTCCGGCAACGACCATGGTTTGACCCTCGCGCAGCTTGCCATTAATAAGGATGGCATCGATGGTGGTGCCCAGGCCAGGCAGTGCCTTCACCTCCAGCACGGTGGCCTGCAGCTCCTCGGAGTACATCAGACGCTTGGCCAGCATATTCTGACAGAAGTCGGCAATCATGAAGAGCAGATTGCCCATGCCCTCGCCCGTAATCGCACTGGTTGGCACCAGCGAAATGTACGTCTTGGGATCCGTGTTCTCGTAGAACAGAGCCGCGTTCAATCCCTGCTCCGCGAACTGCAGGATCACCTCCTTGGTGCGCTGCTGGAACTCCAGTTGTGTGTTGCTCTGCTGCTCCTTCAGGACATCCCTCACATCCCGCCTGCCCAGCTGCTTCCAATCGTACAAACGATCGATCTTGTTGAGGGCCACTATAAACGGACACTTCTTCTTCTTGAGCAGCTGAATGGACTCGATGGTTTGCGGCTCCAAGCCGTGCATAATATCCACCACCAGGATGGCTATGTCGCAGAGCGAGGATCCTCGGTTTCGCAGGTTGCTGAAGGACTCGTGGCCGGGTGTGTCGATGATCAGCAGGCCAGGCAAGCGGTGCTCGAAACCAACAGCTGACTTTACATATTTCGTCTGCTCCTTGATGGCGTCAATCGGCACATTTGTGGCTCCAATCTGCTGGGTAATGCCACCCGCCTCGGAATCCTGGACGTGAGTCCGTCTCAGTTTATCCAGGATCTTGGTTTTGCCTGTATCTACGTGGCCCAGGACACACACGACTCCTGCGCGGAGTTCATCGGTTGTTCGCTTCTTTTCCGCCTCATCTTGACGCTTCAGGATTCGGGCTTCGGCGCGGAGTCTTCGCGACTCTGGGTCATTGGCCAGTGCCGTTCCCTTCTCCTGGGAGTCATCGCTGTCCTCATCGGAATCCTCGCTGTCATCTTCATCCTCATCATCCTCATCCTCTTCCGTGTCCTCGTCGTCTTCCTCAGCAGCCTCGTTCTTGCCATTGTTGGTGGTCTGCGAGGATTCCTCCTCGGGCTCCGCCTCCGCCTCGCTGTCGGTGGCATCCCAGCTCTCCTTGACCACCTCCTCCTCGGCTTTCTGGGCAGCCGCTGCAGCAGCGGCCGTGGCAGCCGCTTGGGCCTCCGCCGCCTTGGCCTCCTCCTCAGCGGCCTCTTCCTTGGGACCCTTCTTCTTATTCGGACGGATTCGGGTTCCTGAAAGAGATTATTTGGGTAATTAGGTTGAAACAAGGCATATAATTCGCTCAAAATTATTATTGTTACTGTGTTGAGCTGTTTTTGTTGATGCTATAATTAATTCACCTAACAATATCTAAAAGTGGCCTAAAACTTGCACTTCTAGGCCCATAACTTTTCTTACAGAAATCCGATTTCCAAGAGGCTTACTTCTAAATAATTGTGTTTTAATTCTCTAAAAATCTGCGTTCTCAGTTTGTTTTGTATTTTGGGCTCGATTTTCCGTCATTTTAACGATGTTACCCCTTTCCAAATTTTGGAAAAATGGCTTTGCCGAAAAGTCACCTAAATCCTGCACTTCTAAGCCCATAACTTTTTTTACAGACATTCGATTTCAAAGTGGCATACCTCAAAATGATTGTGGTTTAATTCTCTAAAAATCTGTGTTTTTAGTTTGTTTTGTATTTTGGGGTCGATTTTCTGTCATTTTAGAAAAATGGGCTTGCAGAAAAGTGGGTTAAAACCTGCACTTCTAAGCCCATACGTTTTCTTACAGACATCCGATTTCAAGTTATTGATTATGTAATGTTAAATGCCAACAAAAATCAAAATGAGTTGTGAAGTTTAACTTTTACATAATAATTTCTGTAATGTTTTTGTTTAGTTTATAAACATTTGCTGATTTAAAATATAACTTTCACTTCAAGTTGATTTAATTATATGATATTTAAAGTATTTATATTACCCCTTTCACAAATTTGACTAATAAGAAAAATGGGCTTGCAGAAAAGTTTGTAAATTAATTCTCCAAAATTCTTCATATGACCCATACGTTTCTCTTACAGACATCCGAACTTTAAAAACACCAAAGTTATTGCATTTCCAATCGTTAATGTTAAATGGCAGCTATAGGATAAAGTGGGATCCTTATGAAATTTAGTATGTGATTGACAGTTGGCCAAATATAAAACCCATAAAAATAACTTCCTAACTTTACAAACACCAAAGTTAAACTATTTGTATCAGTTACTATAAACCATCCGGGCCTTCCGACTTATTTACTTGCAAGGAAAGAAGGGTGTTATTCAAAGTTTCAATTCGATATCTATAAAACTGAGAGACTTTCGCTGATTTAAACAGAAGAGGAAGAAGAGGAGGGATATAACTATATCACCTCAGGAGTTGATCCTGATTAATTATATGATACTTTATAAGATCGGAGATTTATATTTCCTGCGTTGCACACTAATGCCCAAACAGATGTGACTAGATAAAAAACAAACGTACTAAACCTGTTACCCAGTTCACAAAACAGTACAAAATTAAATTTCCTGATCATTACAACAACAAAGTAAACCAAATCACCTGGTCGCGTGGGTCGCTTGTCGTTGGGATCTGGAATCTCCAAACCTTGGGCCTTCAGAGACTCCAGCAGAGCTTGTGCCCTGGCCCGATCCTCCTTCTGCTTCTTGGTGAGCAGTTTGCCCTCGGCCTTCAAGCGAGCCTTGCGCTCTGCCTCGCGTTGCTTCTTTTTCTCCTTTTTCTCCGCCTCCAGGCGCACTGCCTCCAGACGGGCCTCCTCGCGCTCATCTTCGCGGCGAATGCGCTCTGCTTCCTCCCGCTCCAGGCGCTCCTCCTCCTCCTTGCGCTTCTTCAGCTGCTCCTGCATGGCGGCAACCATGGCGGCGGACATGCCCTTCTTTTTGGTGTCCTTTTTCTCCTCTTCCACCTCGGCCTTTTTGTCTTTTTTGCCCTTCTTCTTGTTCTTGCTGGACTTATCCTCATCTTCGACGGCTTCTAGAGGGACTTCCTCGGGAGTTGGAGGTTCTGGTTCGGGAGCAGGTTTCTCCACGGGCTTGGCTTTGGGTTCCGTAGCTGCCTTTTGCTTGGCCAGAGCAGCCTCCCTCTTCTGGCGTTCCTTCTTTTCCTTTTTCTTCTGGGCAGCTGACTTCATGGTGCTGCCGCCCTCCTCATCATCGCTGCCCTCATCGTCCACCGCATTTTCTGCCACAGCAGGCTGCTTGGTCTGCTTCTTGTTCTTTTTCTTCTTGGAAAACTCATCGGCAAGCTCTTCGGGGGAGACAACAGCAGCAGGGGCAGCCTCGCCGGCATATTCCGCTTGGAGTTCAGCCAAAACCTTGTCCAGATCCTCGTCGTCCTCGTCCTTGCCCTTGCGTTTGGCCTTCTTGCCCTTCTTCTCGTTCTTCTGGGGCTTGGCTACCACCTTTTCCTCCTCCTCTGACTGGCTTTCCTGGGCAGCCGGCTCATCCTGGTCGTCGTCGTCCATTAGGAGTTCAAATGCGGACTTCTTGGCGGGCTTTCCCTTAGGGGACACCACTTCCTCTTCATCGGAGTCCTCGTTCTTGGCTGCCTTGCCTTTCCCCTTGACACTGAGCTTACTCACTCCTTTGGTAAGGGATTGGACATCATCCTGGCCAGCTTTGTTGCCTTTCTGGGGCTGGTTCTTCTTGTTGTTGAGGCTCACCTGGTCGCTGTCCACATCGGAGCTGAAAGAAAACAAATAGACTTTAGAAAGTTGCCAAGTTGGCAGGTGGTTGGCAGGCACTCACATTTCATCCGCCGAGGAACCGCCTTCGACCTTGGTCAGTATCTCTTTCTTGCCCTTTTTAGCTTTAACCATCTTCCCGTTTGCGACTGCAACACGCTCCTCCGCTTGCCAAAAACCAAGAACCCTAGGTTATTCACCGCTGAAAGTTCCGCACACGCGACGCTTCGGCAGTCAGAGAAAAAAACCGAGGAGGACTTTTCCACTGGGTGTTGCTGGTTGTCCTGCTGCTGATTTCCTGATCAGGCTGTTCGTGATCCTTCCACGATGTCCTGCTCCTGCGGATTTGGGCTATCGAAACCTAAGTTTGGCACGGTGGCTTGCCAATTTTCAATCGGTTTTATTTAGCCGTGGAAATTCTGCACACAAACACGTTGGACAAGTGGGTGGGTGCGGGAGGGGGTTTTCGTGTGACCGTGCGAGGGAATACTGAAAATGGCATAACGAGTTATCGATTGTTTTATACCCTTTACTTGTGAAGCGGAAGAGTATATTAGACCTGGGAAAAGTAAGTAACAGGGAGAAGGAAAGTATATACTCCGGATCCGTCAGGTTGATATAGCCATGAATCCATCTCGGGAATCACAAGGGTAAAAAAGTCAATATTATACGATTCTTATTGTAATAATTTAGAAAATAAAATAAGTCAATATCTATCTAAAAAGCTTTCTTTATGATGTTAACTGTTTTCATAGTTTCCAATTTTAAACAATTGATCCATATATGGCTGTTTATTTTTAATTCACTCTATTGTTATTAATTTCTTCGCACAATTTTCAACTGAAATGTGTTTCGTAAAGAATTGTTTGTATGGCCTTTTTTGGGGTTTCCATTAGTTTTAATCTACTTGCCCAAAAAAAGATCAATTATAAATATTTTTTAAAGAAAAGTGTTTCTTAATTGGAAAAATGTCGATGTAGTAGAGTGTTTTTGTTCAATATTTACCGTCGGTGATTAGTTTTCTCGCAGCCAGAGTTGCCACTGCGCGGGCGTGCGCTTTGTAGGGTTGACCATTTATCGCCGTTTCAGACTTGTATTTCTCTTCATCACAAATATCACCGTGATCTGTCGACTTTTTGTTTTACCAATTTAATTGCGGACAACTTTAAACATATTATTGAACTTCATTGATCACTGGAATTATGCGTCTTGCGATGTCTAAGGTGGACCATTTATCGGCTTAGAAATTACATATATTTGTCACATGTGCCGCAAAGGTCTCTTTACGAATTTAATGATGGAAAGTTTTAAACATATTCTTAAATTTTAAAAATCACAGGAAATGTATCGGATTGAACAATTTGGAATATAATTTAAGTATATATCAGTAAGATTTGTTGTTAATGCTTAAATGACATGAAACTGAAGGATATGCTCGATACTGGAACTTATATAAAAAACTTCCAATAAAGAGCTATAGTTGCTATAGATTATGAATATACTATAAAATAAATTTTAAGCCGTTAATAATGTATACCTATTTTGGATATTCTATTTTTAAAAGATTGTGTGTTAAAAAAATTTCTTTGAGCATATATTTGTATCACAATTTAGATGACGTTGATCAACAATATATATGGTTTTCAGTGCGCTGCCAAACCATTTAAAATATTCTTAGAACTTTCTCTTAGAGTATATAACAAAGGTATAGTTTTGGTATATACTGCAAAGACTCATGGGTATATTTGAGACTTCAAACGGCAGCCACACCAAAATTCCTTTGCTTAAAAAGTTCGCGGAGGGAAAGACGCTTTTCGTCCAGGATTTCGATGCAGAGATTTCCGAATGTTCATTTATTTACTACCAAATTTATTTCAATTTCTGTGGTGGATCGGTCATTGATTCAAGAACGTTAAGATATTAAGTGAGTTAACTGAAATACTGAAAAGCCGGCAACGAAATCGGCAAAAGCCGGCTGGACACTTTAGATTTTCCCTCGTTTTGTCCTATAGCTTGGAACTCCAGGTAAATTGATGATTGGAGGATGTCTAGCGAAGCGTCCGGAAGCATTACCATCAAAGAAGAAGCATCCACGAGCGGTACTGCGTCCAATATTCCAGTGGAATCTACCGAAACAGAGGTTTGTTGTTGCTTACTTTATATTGCTTATGAGTGCGAAAGAGAAAAAAACCGTAAAAGGGATAACTGTAAAAGCATTGGCACTCTTTTTCGCATTGAAACATGTGATTTCTTGTCCTCCATTCAAATTTTGAATTTTACTGTTATCTTAATGTTACACTGAAAATTGAGCGTCAAAATATAAAAGAGTACATTATTTGAAAAGTTAAAATTGATAAACTTAATTTATTTTTTGAATGCATAATATTGTATTTATTCATAGCCTCTAAATGTACAGATTTTATAAAATGTGTTTTTTTTTTCTGAATTTTCTGAAAAAATTAACAGTGGCGAAAGCTTTTGTTACTAATAGCAAAACTATTTTTAACCATAATTTATTTATAACTTTTAAAAAATTAAATTATTGTTGAACTTATCTATTTGGAGGCTACTTTAATATACGGTTCCCACACTCATTTCTTTTCACTACACTTTGTTACCAAATGATTTCGTATGAACTTCCATTACTGGAAGCGCCCAATTTCGAAGTCTCCCTGAGACTTAAAAAAAATATGTATATAAAGGCATAAATAAGCATTTCAAAAGATTTCTTAAGTGGTCGAATCATTTTTCCCACTTCATTGTGTAGCCCCTCAAATGTTTACAATAACGCTGGTTCTTAATTTCAGGCTAAGAAACCGGAGATCGGAGCTGACAAGGCGGAATCGCTGACAGAAGCTGAGGGCGGGAAGGAGGCGGACACGACAGAGACCCATATAAAGCGACTTCAGAATCTGCGCAAGGAATTGGCCTACCTCAGCGAAACGGACTGGATGTACGAGAGTCTCGACAATAAACCCGCGCAGTAGAAACAGAACCCTAAACGAAAATGTTGACACTTGTACGCAAACTTTTCACCAACGCGGACCGCGAAAAGGAGTTTCTCATGGAGCGTTTGGAGCAGGAGAATCGCTTCTTGGATCAAAAGCTACTGGAAGAGGAGATCGACCGCCGGCAACAGGCAAATCCATCCGAAATGGATGGTGTTATTACCAACCAGATGGGTCAACTCACACGGGCATTATCAAATATGGACATAAACAAGGAGAGTACCTGTTCGTCCAGAAAGGGAGTAATCACCAGTTTGACCAGCAACAGCGGAGCCATCGATAAGGCCTATTTCTTCGATAGTAAGGTAGCAGAGGATATCTTCCTGGATTTGCACGTCGGTTGTGTGGTGGAATATTTGACCTTTCAGAAGGAGCACGAGGAAAACTTACGCGTGGTCAAGGTGAAGGGCATCCTGGAGCACAACTGGGAGGATACAAATCAAACCCAGGTGGGCACTTAAGTTTAATTTAACGAAAAAAGGAAGTTTAAATAGTCTATTCTAGATCGAGGAAGCTCTGGACAAACTGAAGGACGAAAAGCCCACCTACTTCAACACCCAAATAAGGAGCGTGCTTGGGCTGATTCAACAGCGCCTGGCATCCTCAATTGACATCGAGACGGAATACGGACTACTCACCGTCGAGCTGGATAACATTGAGCTGTCTTTCATTCCCAAGAAGGGGGATCGAGTGCGCCTGGAGTGCAGCATCCAGCTGGACGATGGTTTCGTGGACAAACAGGGAGAAATTCTGCAGGTGACCAAGGTGTTTCCAACGCGAATCGAGCAGGCTGAGAAGTGTTTGGTGGAGCGCGTGTTCACTGATCTGGTTGTTCTGGGTCCGGAGATCTACGTCTTAAAAACGGACGTGCCTACGGGTACAGACCTTCACTTGGGAGACTTTGTGCTCGCCGATCTCATCGAGTGTCAGTATGTGAGTTTCAGGAATGTAAACATAATTTGTAGAATACGTCTTAATGAGATTATTTAATATATCAACAGTCAAAATTCACCAGACGCGCCATTAAACTTACTCCGCTGGAGAAGAACTTCGGCGAAACGAGGGTGAGATCTCAGAATGGCTTTAGCTCTTCAACCAATGGGCAGGCAGTCTCGGTAACAGGTGCAACCCGCTTCATCACTACAGAGCTCTGGCAGAAACACACTATTTCGCTGAACCTGAAAAACAATCTGAATAGGAATATCCGCCTTGAGAGCATTGTTGTCTTAAACGACAGTGAATCCCAGTTGAGCGTAAAGACACCCCTTGAACCTGTGGACATTGTTGTTGGCGGCGACATAACAATTGTCTTCGAGATCCACACCCAGTTTATGGGCGAAGCGAACGAGAAATACGAGCTGAATTTCGATCGTTTCAAAGTTAAGCGCTCATTCACAGTGATAGTTTGCGAAACCAAAGAGGAAGCCGCCGAGGCTGAAAAGCGAATAATAGCCGCCGACAGTCTCGTAGCAACTGGACGTACGATTCACCAGAGATCCCGCTTTTATGCTAACCAAGTTTGGTGCAACAAGGTGGATGTGGTTCCGGGCGAATCCATTACCCCCAAGCGCAGATTTTTGGCCCTGCGTTTGGGTTTTTTTGAGGTAAGGAGGATTGTAAGCTAAAAAAACCTTTTCATTTGCTATTGTAAAATGCAACTCAGTTCGGCTTTATGCGTTGTTTCTTATTATTAATGCTATATTTATATCTGTTGATAAAATCATTAATTCATTTTTTTAAATTTACATATTTAAGGTCCCTGAGAAGTTGCGAAAAATGTATTTGACCGTTGAACGGCGACAGGAACTGTGCGACACCATCGAGCAGCATTATCCCAGCATCAAAAATCCCCTGGACTTCCAAAACTATGTGCAGCGTTTGGGTTTATTCCTGCACCTGGAGGAGATCGAGTGCTTTGTGAGCTTCCGAAACTATGATAGAGATCGAGCGCATTTCGTGCGGGACGGGGAGTACCTCGCGTTGCAGATCGAAAATCTGGCCGAGCGTCGTCCATCGCTGGTCGTGGGCGATGTTGTGCGCACTATAAATCCCTGGGTGGATGCCAATTCCCGGGAAAACAAAACATACGAGGGTGTTATCCACAAGGTGCTCTTCAATCGCGTCCTGCTCAAATTCAACGCCAGTTTCCAGCAGAAATACAATGGAGAGGATTACCGGCTTGAGTTTTATTTCTCCCGATTCGGTTTTCGCAAGCAGCACCATGCCGTCTCGCAGATTAGGAGCGTCATGGGCGAGCAATTTCTGTTTCCCAGTAAGGTAACCAAGCGCGAGAATCCCCAGCTGGAGGTGAGGATGGTGGATGATGATATGTACCTGTACGATTCGAAATTGCCGTGGTACAATCCTTCGCTCAATATCATCCAGAAGCGAGCTGTTTATAATATCTTAAGGGGAGATGCAGAGGACATTCCTTATGTGATATTTGGGCCACCTGGCACTGGAAAAACTGTGACGCTTGTCGAGACCATACTGCAGTTGGTGCGGAATCTACCAGGTGCTCGGATACTAGTGGGAACGCCATCTAATAGCTCCGCGAATTTGGTGACCAAGCGACTCGTCGATTGTAATGTCCTGCTGCAGGGAGATTTTATTCGTCTTGTGTCGCACAACCAAGTGGAAAAGGATTTAATTCCTCCCGAACTAATGAGCTACTGTGCCACCGTGGACCTTGGAATGGATGGCTCGTGCGAGGACAGTGTGAGTTCAATATTCCTTTGAACTGGAAACCAATAAATTTTCCTCTTTTTTCACAGATGGTGACCACTGATTCGGGGCTGAAGCTGCGCTGCCAGATGAAGTTCATAGGCAGCCACCGAATCACCATCTCCACGTGCTCCACTTTGGGAAACTTCCTGACGATGGGTTTTCCGTCGGGGCACTTTACCCACGCACTTTTCGATGAAGCGGGTCAATGCACCGAACCGGAGACAATGGTGCCCATTGTATTGCTCACAAAAAAACGCAGTCAAGTCGTTCTGGCTGGAGATCCTCGCCAGCTGCAGGCTATTGTGGTCAATAAGTTTGCGGGCGAAAGTGGATTCTCCTTATCCTTCCTGGAGCGATTGCTGGAACGTTCGCCCTATCGAAAGGATCTTCAGCGATATCCCAATACCGCGGGCTACAATCCGGCGGTCCTGACCAAATTATTGTACAACTACCGAGCATTGCCATCGATTATGAGTACTTATAGCAAGCTCTTCTACGACGACGAACTGATATCAATGGTCTCCGAAAAGGATTCAAGGGAATCTAAACTACTTTCCAAACTACGTGTGGTTTTCGAGCCAGAAAAAGATATGCCCCAGGCGCATGGCACGTTCTTCTTTGGAATCACTGGGGAGAATAGGCAGGAAGCTGATTCCCCTTCCTGGTTTAATTCGCAAGAAGTAACGGAGGTGTTCCTCATGACAATTGCCTTGTATCGCGCCAATGTGACTCCGGAACAGATCGGGATACTCACACCTTATTTGAAGCAGGTGAAGATGCTCCGGAACATGTTCATTGGCACTGACGTGGCCATGCCAAAGATTGGTACCGTCGAGGAGTTTCAGGGACAGGTGCGTTTCGATTGAGGAAGTGCAGGAAATCCAGAGTTCCAATCATATCAAAAACCAGTTAAAAAAAAATTGTTGTCTTAAATATCATCTGAGATTTCTTGAATTCCCCTGAATTTGTTTCGAAATAAGCCTATTAAAAACTATCTCTAATTTCCAGGAACGTGACATTATGCTGATTTCCACAGTACGCTCGACGGAGTCGATCTTGCGAATGGACGCCCGTTTATCCTTGGGATTTGTTGGCTGTAACAAACGTATGAACGTGGCCATTTCCCGGGCTCGCGCCATGATGATCGTCTTTGGGAATCCTTATCTCCTTGCCGTCGACCCATGTTGGCGACAACTGATCCTGTTTTGTGCTAACAACAACGCCTACTTTGGATGTGACTTACCACAATCTGTCGTAAATCAGGACGATGGAGATATAGGCACATTCGTGCCCTAACATAATCACCAAATGTTCTTAAGACTAAATGACAAAATGTATTCTCTGCATTCAGAGTGCTACTTATTAGACAATAAATGTATTCCAATTGTGTTGGATTCAACTGAAGCAAATGTCTCCTTTCGTTTAGGGAAATAAGAATGTTTAAAGTTAAATACTCAAAAAATTAAATTAGGGTCACCAAACTTTTTATTGAGTATATCATAACTTAAATTAATAAAGTTAGAAACGGGATTTGTATATCTTTCGCATTAAATTGGAATTAAAAAGAAATAACTGCTATTCGCTTATTTTAAAAATATAAATAGCTTAATATAAAAAAAAATACACCAGTTCTTGTAAGAGAAATTACATACGCCAAATTTGTTTTAAAGTTGTCATTGGATTAAAACCGGATTCGATTATTCCTATGATAGCTCATTGTTATGGTCTAAAATCGTTAAAAATATCTATATACATACATACATAAGTACAAAACAAATTAGCATTATACAAAACGCAATAATGGCACTTTTGAAATTAGGTTAAATCTCAAGCTTTCGCAAATCTGGCAACTCTACACTGGCGAGCACCGTTATCCCCGCCATGTTTTTACCCGTTTTGTTTTCTCTTCTTCATTCGCATACTTCTCGGTAAAAGTGTTAAATGCTGGATAATTTATATCTGGGAATTGTGAAAGAATGGACCAGAACTCTGCCGAGGAGAACATCTTCGTGGTCAATGGAAAATCAAAGAAGAATCGCTGGCAAACGGATGTTGAGGTACGGATGCTCGGTTTTAATTAAACGGAATTAATCCCAATGGATTTTCACAATTTTACCAATCCTAGCGCCTGGCAAAGTCCCATTGGCTCAGCGATTATGCACGGGATATATTTTTAACCATGAAGGAGCAGGAAACGCGCCGTATGCCGATGTATTTCCTTTCGCCGCAAATTAATGAACGCCAGAAAATGCTGCAGTTGCTCCAAATGGTGGCCAGAACCCACAAAATCAGCCGATGTGCTTTGCATTTGGGTAAGCAACTACAGTAGAGTCTCCCTAACTCGAAATATTAGAGATGTCTAAGTATAATGGATCAGAATATGTACACAATTAAGGCTTCTATACATACATATGTACATATGTCTAGGAATGTAGCAATAGTCTCCTATTTTTGAGAAATTACGCATTTTCATCGCAAGAAAACTTTAAAATGTACTCTAAAATTTTAATTATTTTCGTTTTCAAGTTGAATTACTTAAATTGCGAAACAAGTTCCAATCATGAAGGTGTATTTTCCAAAAAAATCTTTATGCAATACTCTCAATGTTTAAATAAGCATAATACCTTAGCTACATTTATTTTAAACATTGTTGTTTTTGGATAAAACAATTAAATTATAATGAAAACTCATTCAATTTAGATCTCAACTTCATATTCTTTGCAATGCAAGATCGAAACATAGATAATGATATACATAGGTATCTAATATATATTCTTATACAACTTCAAATATTCCATCAAAACAACTATACATTGTACTATCAATAGGACATTTATTATGATGTCTTATTGATAGGACACGATAGGACATTTATTATGATGTATTATTGATAGTACCGTGACAAGCTCAATTAATTAATATTTTCTTTCAGCAATGTACTACTTGGATCGCTTTGCGGACCACTACAAAATCCGGATGGACAAGCTGTCCTTGCTGGCGCTGACCTGTCTTCATATAGCAGCCCAGATCGAGAACACCGATGCCTTTATACCACACTATAGCGAAATGAACCAACTGGTGAGGAATGCCTACACAGCCTTCGAATACAAAGCAGTGGAGAGGAAACTTCTGTGCTTCCTCAATTTTGAGCTAGTGCGTCCCACAACTGCCAGTTTTGTGGAGCTCTTCGCCTGTAGTTTCCTTACTCGCAGCGATTTCGCGGTTTACACTGGGATGTTGGACGATTTCGAGAGCGATCAGAATATCCAGCCATACCAGCGGTATGAAAGCTTCGAACAAATGCTTGCTAGTCTAGCGCAGTTGCTGCTCCGCATGGCGGACTTTACATTAACCAGTAAGTGTATGGTTTTCTGTGAATAACTTGTAATTCAATATATCCTTTAGTTTCCAGATTTGCCGATGAACGGCCCTCACTTCTGGCCGCCGCCTGCATTGCCGCAGTTCGCCAGGTGAGCGGCGTGAAGCGCTGGTCGACGTACCTCATTGGATTAACCTCCTACACCGAGGCCCATGTGGAGCCCTTTATAGACGCGATAGCCGGCTACCACTCCTACCAAACTATCCAGCCAATTTGCGAGATTTCCCCTGTCCAGATCAACCAGAACGTATCCAGTCCCGACTCAGGATTCGAGCAGTCCCTCACTGAAAGCACAGACTTGGTGGTCCCCGATGAAGTGGTAACCGTGGAGGTGGGCACCTACAACATTATCACTGTGCAGCTCCAGGACATAGCTCCAAACTCAACCCCTTCCGAAGCTCAATCAAAACTTAAGCGACTGCGGATCGAAGATAATTCCGAATCCCCGCAGCCTTTTAAACAAGCCAAAGTTGAATATGAACCTATAGATAAGTAACAGAACGAAAGTCAAAACTAATACCATTTGGAGAAAATCCAAATAGTTTCCAGGAGTCTTAACAAGATCGTTTTACGCAGATATGCCTCGTTCAATTGATTTGAACCATCCGCCATATCGTAAACGTACTATTTTGCTTTAATATATATTTGTTTAATATATATTTGAAATTATGTTATAAACTTATGGATACAAAATGTCAAAAACTCAACAAAAAATAAGCATTATCAACTAAAAACAATAAAGACATTATTTATAATTTAATACAAAAACAATGGCCCTTGTTAAATTTTATCAGAAATTTTAGGGAGCTGCCAATTTCAAAACTTCCTATAACTAAAAATGTACATTTACATTTTGGAATAATAAATGAGGGCTGTCATTTAAGGAACAATCAAACGATCTTTAAGGCTTTCTTATTTCGTATCTTTACATATTTTCTGAGACTTAATAGTGAGTTTTTACGAAAAAAAAAGAGATAGTTTTTGGGACTAAGAAGTTGACTTTGGACTGTTGTTATTATTTTGTTAGTTAAATAATTACAATTAATTTGGTTGACAGAGGGTTATTATTGACTTTTTTAAAGGTCTTAAAAAAATTGTGAGAAGTGTTTAATTAATTTAATAAATTCTATTATGTGTAGAAAGTGAACAAATTTATTACAACTTTCAATTCCCTGAACTAAAATAAATGCCAGAACCTGTTGAAAGGCTACTTAATATTGTCCAAAGATAACCTTTCGTCCCTAAAATTGTTTTTCATACCAGGATAGCTCATACACTTAAATTTGATACATATCTCATAATTCTAGCCTAACAGCTAAATGCACAAAGCGGAATAATCGGGAAATCGTCTGTTTTGAAAGGATTGGGAAATCTCAAACTAACTAACTTACTTAAACCTGCATTGCTATCCCAGTAGTTTCGTAAGTAGTTTCGTGGGGTAAGTGGTTTGTAAACATAAATGTCTTTTGAATTTACAACATTTACAGGACATCTGTACAGCGAACGACTTTCATCGCTGCATGTCGCGTCGTTTCAGCACATCAAAGATCACATCGGAGGCGTTCTGTTTGTTGTTGGGATCATGACCAGATTCGTCCTCGGAATCGGTTTGCTCCAGTAATGGCACCGTCAGCTTGGAATGCGATTTCACGTGCACACCCACATTGGCATTGCCCTCGATGAATTTGTACTCCTTTGGGGATGACTCCTCCAGGTCGTTATCGAACTGCAGGTCCCTTTGCTGCTTCTGCGTCTCCTTCATACTGGTGTACTTGTGCAGCAGGTGGCAAACAATGCCCGCCAGGCAAATCGTCAAGCCAATGTAATTAATAAAACTCAGTTGGTCCTTTTTGAGGGTCACAGCCAGGGCCAACTGACAGATGTCCTTGAAGATGCCAGCAATCGAGAGGGTCAGGCTGGAGGTCTTACAAAGCACCAAAAACTCGCTGAATTCCATGAGGAAGGCCAATAAAGCACCAGCTGTTATCTTCCCAATCGCCCAGATTATCTCATGCGAGGTGTGGTTGTGCAGATGCTTCAGGACTTCGATGAGATTGGCACCTGAAAACAGATAAAGATTTCTTAGTGGCACGTCTTTAGTTAAAGATCTCCACACCCACCTTCGATTCCGATAACCAGAGGCACCAGCGAGGCAATCATCCACGGCTGCATGTAATATATCATGTCGATGGGGTTGTGTAATCCCAGCTTCGATTTCTGCATTATGAACTGCGCGAAACTCCATCGCAATCCGCTGCTCAGCGAGGCGAACAAAATGAAGAAGAAGCCCAGGGCATTGAACTGCGTGGACTTGTAGGTGAACATCACCAGCCCAGTGCCTATCAGGCCCACAACCGACACCAGATACCAGCTCTGAAAGTAGATAATGCATTTTAACGTACAATCTTTATGGAGGTGCGAAATATATACATTTGCTGCAGCGCATTTTCGCGATGCCTAATAATACACCTAATTATTGAGATTTCAGTCATATTCAAAACAAAAAGTAGAATTATCTTAAACGTTTTGCGGTTTACGAAATCCAAATTATTTAGTTTTAAACTTCTTAAACTATTAAACAAAATATTTTACTTTCGTCCTCCAAAAATATACGTATTTAACTAGATTAAACGTGTTTTTGGACAGGAATTGTTTATCAATACGTGTTTTTGGAATTGTTTATCAATACACAAAAATCAAACCAGTTTAACCCTATTTGCACTCATTTCATATCATCTAGCTGATAAACATCTGCAGTAAAAAATAAAAGCAAATCCACTTCATGTTCATAAATTAATAAAATGTCCTTATCTACAAGTAAATCAAACATATTATGTTCGTCGATGAAGCTAGTTATTTTTAACTGATAATCTTTACAAATATTTCCGAGATATTGTTTTTATATTTTTATTATATTTATATAATGATTAATCATTAATTGCAATTTTATTTGGATTAAACAAAAAATTGTGACATTATTTTTGGAAGCTTAGTTTTAAAAATCTTTCAAAAACCTTAGTAAAAAATTTGACGAATTCATATTCCACATTTTAGGAGAAATCAATATAATTAGGAAAAGAATGTAGATAATAAAGAAACACAAACATATTGTTTACCAATAAATTATTCCACATCAATACGAAATGGCCTCTCTTTCAAAAAGTTAAATTGTCGCACATGAAAATAATCGTTTCTATTTGATAAGAAGCTTAACAAATTGTGAAGTTTTATCAGTTCTTAATGGACATGGTTTTTTTTTTCTTAACATTGGAGCGCTTTCAGAATAATTAAACGATAATGATAAAAGCTAAACAGAGAACTTCTTAACGTGGAACTTAGTGAACTTGAAAATTTAAGTAGTTTAGTTAGTTCTATAACTAAAAGTTTCATATTAACCAATTTCTCTTTATATCAGTCAGTTCTGTTATTAATTAGTCTTCGTGGCATGCTCACCTTTTTCTCCAGTCCCAATGCGATGGCGAACAGCAGGATAAAAACAATGGTCGAGGATTTGGTCATGGTGTATAGCGAAATCGGGACCAAAGCCAATCCCCAGTTGGAGAATCCAATATCGATGGCACTGGCAACTCCCGTGGGTGCCATTTTTCTCAGGGCCACCCGCCAATCCAGTTGAACCCTCGACCTGCCCACCCGCATCCTGTAGATCCTTCTCGCCAAGGCAGCCAGGAGGAATTTGATTACCAGGTGATAGGACACAATGGCCAGGGGAAAGTGCATCTGCCGGTTGATGTCCGTTTGGTAGAAGGTCAGCGATATGGACAGCGTCAGATACAAAAGGATAATGAATAGAGTGCCCACGGCCATTTGCATCATCATGTTTTCCTGTGCCGAAGTGGTGGCTTCCGTGCTTCCCGGACTGCCGCCCGATATCTGCCGTAAACGATTTCCATTATTCAACTGCGAATGCTGCGTGAGATCGAGTTCGATCTCCTCGTCTTCCGCATCGCTGGCATTTCCGATTTCACCCACCTCAGCACTGGAATTTAAACGCTCGTACTTCGCCGCCACCATTATATATTATCGGGAATGCTTGGGAATACCTGGCAAAATAGATATCTATAGTAGAGTACTGTAAATATGGCAAGCGCAACGCGGCAACTTTACTTGTTTCGTTATCTTAAAGTCTACGTCCATATGTTCCGTATATTTTGATGTTTTCCCCTTCTCCGTTCTTTATCTCCGACGTTTCTATGTACACACACATTCATATATGGATATTCTGAGTCGTTCTTGCAAAATGTGAAATGGGATTAATTGGTTTTACGATGCCATTTCAACACAAACTTCTGTTTTTCGGTTTTGTTTCTTGCCAACTGTTTATACACAGGCGGTGCTGACGGCCTGGCTAGTTTCTTGCTGGATTTGGCTCGCGAGGGCGGGCTAGTACAGCGATTTTGGCTAGAAGTGTCAGTTCTGGCGGCAGGTTAGAGTGTTGCTATCGATGTATCGATTGCGCGAACATGACAGTTTATTTAAACAGTCTTTGTTTACAAAAGGTTTTTTTCTTTGATTTACTAAGAGGTGTTATTTGCTGTTAACCCTAAATGGACTTACCGGCTTAACACTTTATTATTTATTACCAAAAATTTTAAATGTTAATTGTCAGTGGTCCCCGAGTTGCCTTCAACAGTCGAATTCAAGTCAATTGTTTTGACAGGGAGCGATGCCGCAAATATTGCAAATCAAATATATATAATCAGCAAATATAACCTTATATTATTTTTCTAAGCTAAGCTTTAACCAAGCGAAAATGCGGAAGCATAAATCTATGGCGGCGAAATATCCCGTTCAAAATTGGGCTCAAAATCTATACAATTCAAATAATATACCAGATGTACTAAAAAACTATCGGCCGTCGACATTCGAAAATACATATTTAGTTTCCAACATTCAAAAAAGGTTGTGTTTATAAACAAAGATAAATAAAGCTATGTCGATTTACCAATAAATTTGTTTGATCGTTCATATGACAGCTATATAATATAGTCGTCCGGTTTTTAAACTAAAACCGTGAAATTATAATACCCTCTTTAATAAAAATGTACTTTAAAAGTCTGTTACAGCTTTTTATTAAGGAATATGTTTTTTATTCACTTTTCCATTTTGTTTTAGTTTCTTTTTAGAAACTTTCTCAATATAATCCAAACTTAAAAAATGCATTGATTCAAACATTAAACGCTTTCCAATTAGCCAAAGTGCTTTTAAATAAATGCATTTTGCGTGCCAGTTGTTTAGGAATCCACTTAAATTGGTAGAACAACTAGGTAATTGATAACTGCTTGATATAATTATGCTTCCTTTATATAGTTAACTTTGTTCCTATGCTGTATTTAAATGCTGCAGGACAACAGGAGCTGTTGAAATGAGGAAAACCAATGGTTATTAACAAATGCAACATTTTACATAAGATTTTTGATATACCCAATCGAACAGCTGCGATTATAGCGCCAAAAAGGATGAAGTTGAAGCGGACTTCTGATTTTACGCGTTTCTGCTCCTCCGCGGGGTCGGGTTGTGATTGTTGCAGACGGAACATCTTAATATTTTGTTATTATTTATTTACAAGAAAAACGTGCGAAACGGCACTGAAAAATTGAGGTTTGAAGTATGACCGTTGCTTCAGTGCCTAAATATACCATCCGCCAAAATATAAAATACTAAATTATAAATTATTTAAAAATTAAAAATATAATTTTAAAACTATTTTTAAGTAACGCTTATATATTTCTTAGGTATCATGTATATTTATTTATTTTTTATTTTTTTATTCTATTATAATCTTAAGTACCAATTTGGTTTGTTTGTTGTATTTCAATGTCTTCAAAAATTACATTACAAATAGGGCATTATTAAAAATATTATTAGTAGTTGATATTAACATGAAAATATTTGTTTTGAAATATAAAAACAAATAATATGATCATTGTATAAAGAGAAAAATTAACAAATATAAACATAGTTCACAGTTAGTTAACAGAGCTCTGTTATCTAACGGCTATATATCAAAGTTTTCCACCAAAATACTTCCTTTGGCACATTTTGGTATATCCTGAAGGCTGGCCACACTCGACTATTGGGTAGGATAAAAATCCGTGAGTATCCTGCTCGCCAAAAAAAGGATTTTTAGTTGATTTCAGCAGCAGCAACCCGTCGCATTCGTTGCGTATCTTAAGTTCGCGAATTTTCCCTTAAGCTCGTACAATTAAAATCGAAGCAAAATAAAAAAAAAACAACCAAAATGCGGTGCGGCTTAAAAAAATAAATTTTAGAATCCTTTTTGAAACGAAAAGTGCAGAGAGCACAACGACAAAGTGAGATAAATATCGAGGAGTGCAGTAAATAAAGAAAAACATACATCAAAATGTCGACAGTTGTGGAACAGGTGAGAGGAGTGAAAATAATACTAATCAAATATAAAAAAGGAGTCTTACTGGGATTCTTTCTTTATTGTTTTTCCGGAGCTTATATAAACGGAGATTATCAGCCAATTGCCGAAATGTTACGGTATTTCTCCTACAATTCCGCCGACTGCGTAACATTCAGTGTCAGTGTCTGTCAGTCTGTGTCTGCGTTTGTGTGTGTGAGTGTCGCTTAGGGTGGCTCAATTCCAAAGGACAAACAATAAAGAGATAAATAAAAGGGGGCAGTTTTCCCTTAATCAATACAATCGGTATATTTCTAAAAGTTAAATCTGATTTGTACTTTTTTTGAGAGTCAATATAATTTTCAAATCGGTTTTTAAAGATTTCATATATCTATAAATATTATAATATATATTCATTTTATTCGTAGTTTAATAACTGGTTTTCTGAAGCAATTCGATTTAATAATAAAAAGCTGTTGAAAAATTAATAAATAATAGTTAGGACCTATTTTAAAACTTTTTAGCTTATTGAATAATTGGCTTAGACAAAGGTTTTATTTTTTAAGTAGGAATTAAGAAAAAAATCAAATTAGTATTTGAAATTTATTAGTAAAGAACTTTAATGGAATAACATCTCAGAGCCTTTCCAAAGTTCATTACGAGTCACCCTAATTCGCAGGATACTCCCGCCTTTGTGTTTTAGTATGCGTGCGTGTCTGTGTTTGGTTGTTTTTGCATTTCCATGGCAACGTAGGGCGAACTTCCTGAACGCCCGCCGCTTTCGATTTGACAGTAAAATTCGATTAATTTCTAATCGGCAGAAATCAGTGTGACAAGTGCAGACGACTCCTCGCCAAATATAAATAGCTGCCATTTCGCAAACCAATTTCAATTCCCCATTCACACACATATACACGATACAAACACTATGGTGCGATGTAGCATGCAAATTTGGTTTGCTTTCGGTGGGGGGGTGTGTGAGTGTGTGGGTGAAAGTGTCCTAGTGTCGGTGATTTGACATTTTGTTGCACAAAATCCTTCATCCTTCATCCTTCGACGTGTGCCTTGGGCGATTTTCAAGTGCAGTCACACTCCCAATCGACTCGACTTGACGTCATAAATGCTAAATGAAGCGGTCACTTTTTCAAGTACAGTAGAGCTTCAATTAGTTAGCCACAGAAAGTTTTTATGTCATATAAAAACATTTAAAGTAACCTCCCACCAAACTCAAAATTTTAATGATTAAGCTTTAACATTTAAAACATTTTTAACCTTTCAGCTTAAGCATAATATATTATTTACTATAATATTTACAATGATATTTACTGTTTATTGCAAATATAAAATGGAAAGGTGATAATAAAAGAAGTAATTAGTAATAGTAGTAAAACCCTCAATTTTTATAGAATACTAGATAAATGTATATGTTTTTGGTACTACATTCTCGTTTATAAAATTTTTCATTTAATTGAACCAAACACTTTTGCTCTCTATTTGTAAATATATTTAGCAATTAGCAAAGGTTGACTTGTTTTAAAGCCAATAGAGAAAGAAAAATATAAACAAGTTATTAATTTATTGAAAACAATTTTGTTTGACCCCCTTTGAACAAAATTGTTATTGACATTCATTTAGTAAATGGGAAATGCCATTCGGCTTTATTATTTAATTTTTGTTTGATTTCATTTCTGCTTCTGCTTTTGGCATTTATAATAAATAAATATTTTTGTCATAGAGGTCAAAGTGTCTTTTGAAATTTATGAAAATATTGCTTTGATAAATATATTATCAAATTTATTTTGATAAATTAACATAAAAGACATACGTTTCCAATCTGCTGCATAAAAGTGTATATTTTATAAGCATGAAAATCCCATTAGCCACATTAAGAAAGAATCATTGGTACTTTGGTAAATTACCCACAGCCTAATCTGATTTAAAGACTTCCTTGCGTTCTTTGCGTTCAACTTTTCCAATTTCGTTTAATTCCTGCACCAAATCCGTCTCATTCCCTTGCCCACAGTGTCTTTAATCAATTTCCTCCAGCTGGGATCCGAGTAAAACTTAATATTTTCCTGCTGGAATCTCCTATACTCCTGTGCTCCTCCTGAATTTTCCTCCTGATTTTCCTCCTGTCAAGTCAAAGTCAGTGGAACTTTTGTTGCATACTTTTCTGGGTGCGCATGTAGCGCGAGTCATTACGTTTTATAGACTTTATAAGAAGTTTCGTTTATGCAGTTTGCTCAAAACTTTTCACCTAGGTAAATGCATGTATGTATCTTTGGTTTTTTGTTCCGCTCGGAATTGTGGCGGCAAGATAAACATTTCGGCGAGTTTCCTTCTTTTTATGGCCAGCCATTAAAGTTTTTCCTGCCAACACTGATGGATGTAAAGTCGAAAATCGAAGCGATTTCTCATGCGGTTGTTGAAGCCACAAGATTAATTTTTGGGTCGGAAATCCTCATCAAATGTTGAACAATTAGGTTCACTTTAAGTACAAACAAAATCTAAAAAGTAGTTTATTCTATAGAAAAGGATTCCCTTAATCTTGCTTTTTATAAATTTATGTCTTTGAAGAACTTTTGACTGAGCACTTTAAAGTAATTAAGTACTTGCGAAAAGTTTTTCAATTATGAAGCTTGGGATTAAAAGTTTATAATCGCATATGCATTATTTAGGGATATATAGAGACCCTTTATCTAGGGAAGGAAACGAGAAATAAGATTTATTCTTGTTCTGTAAAACAAATTCTGTAACGATATATATATTATCTGGCTGTGCTACTTGACCTGAAGTTCTCGTAAAACCTTAACTTGGAATAAAATATTTCAATTCGTGATGCTTTAATTTATGCGGCCATAAAGGCCAAGCGCCTGATGTACATATATAAACATAAATACATAAAAGTAGCTACCCCGTCAAGTGCAACACATAGGCCAACTATGCGTCCTTTTTGGCCCCCTTTTTTCCCCCTTTTCACCCCCATTTCTCTCCACCTTTCTCTCCCCCTTTTCACCCCCCTTTGTGTGACGTGAGAGGCTTCTTTCTCCCACTTTCCACCCCACAATTTTTTTTTGTGTGTGCGCCATTTTGTCAGAGCATAAATTACAACTTCAGGTGTAGTTTTCGCAGGAGGAGAAAGGTGAAAGCACTACCGTCTGTTGCTGCTGTCACAGTCGCCGGTTGTTGTTGTTGTTGTTGTTGTTGCTTACATAATGTTAATGATGCTGCCCCAGCCGGCAAAACGGAAAATGGGGGAAAATTCAAGGGGGGGTTTTCATGCTCTCTTCCAAAAACAAAAGTCAAAAGAAGCGCAGGAACTGTCGCTTGTGACCTACGTGTGTACAATGGCCTCTAGTTTACAGGACCTGCGTCCTCCGGCTGGATGATGTCCTTCGTCCTTGTCGTAGCCATTATGCTGCCATTTTTCTACTCTTTCAATTGAGGGGTATTATACGCGAGTACAAAAGTACAAAATAACTTTAAATTAAGAGGTTTATTGTGCTTTATTTTCTTATGAAAACAATAGAGTATTTACATTTGTATTACCTCATATGATATTAAAGTTGTCAAATGTTGAACATATTTACTATTCATTCGTTTAAATACAAATATGTACATACAAATTCATAACAAAATGTATTAACATTTTTGATAATTAACATATGAAATATGTCTTCATAAGAAAACAAATTAATTTGTAGAAGTTGTTAAATACTATTAAATTAAAAAACACAACCATTTTGGCCTTTTGTTTTATGGCAGATAAATGGCTCACTTTTAATGGGAGATAAAATTGTAGGACACAAAAACATTGTTCTGCTTATCCAGCATTTATTAAAAGCGACATTTCCGTGAATATATAAACATAACTTCTATTTTTCAAGCGACCACATCACCCTTAATCCTTTGGCCTCATATCCTGTGATAAGTGTATATATGGAATGGCATCTGCTGACTCATGCTTTTTCATCTCGCACTGCTCGCTTCTCCATTTCCTTTTCATATTTGCTGTCCCCTGCATATTATTTCAATTTGGCGGTGCAACAAAAGAGTTTTCCCCCAGTTTCCCCCCCGCTTTCCGTTGTGAGTCACATGGCGTATGCGTAATGCAAGAGCAAGGCTGCATCCCAAACCAGTTTCCCCAAGGATAATGGAGCTCGTTATGCTTATTTGTCCGCCCACAAACACACTCGTGTGCGAGTGAGTGTATGTTGCAGAAGGAAATTGCCCCCGAGGTCCTGACAT